GCCTTGCCTTTCGGTTCCCAGGGGATCCCACGGGCGCCCCCCATGGGGTTGGAAACGTCGGTTCCCACTGCAGGAGCACGGCCTGCGGCCACCAAGACTCGGCCACTCGTGCCCAGCCTGGGGACCGGGCACACGGGGGCAGCTCGCGCCTCCTCTTCTTTAGAAACCGGGTTCACCGCAGAGGTCGCGCGCTCTAAGAGGCAGCGGGCTCCTCGCCGTCCCCACGGCTCCGAGCTGGGCCCTCGTGCCCCGTCCACCCCCTGCCCGGTCTGCTGCGCTGTCTTCAGTTCCTAAGTGGCGCGTGTTGCAGCCCTGAGCCTGGGGACCGCCCGCCCGCGCTCCCTCCTGTCCTCGGCGGGGCCCAGACGCGGGTCAGGGTCCCGGTGTCAGCCTTGCGGGGTGCTGGGCGGACTGTCTCGTGGCCCACAGGATCCAGCAGCGGGACTGCGGCCTGCCTGCCGCGTGAAAGCAGATTCATTAGCTGTGTGGATTTGCTTTCCCGGCAAAATTCTGGGCCAGTTAGTTGGCGAGAAGGGGCGTTTTTCAATTTCATCCCAAAGTGAACGTCCAGCTGCGGCAAGGACGCAATTACCCTGCCCGCAGAGTCATTTTTCAACCCAACAGACATCCTCCCATTGCCTTGAGCCCCGCCGGGTCACCAAAGGGGCTTGCGGTTGGAGCCGGATGCTCTCAAAAGCAAGAAATCACCATTCTTCTGTTGTCTCCTTCTTTATTTGCCGAACTGGGGACTGAACCAAAGAGTGCTGGACCCTGAGGGGCACCACACCCCCACCCCTTTTTATTTTCTACTTAGAGAAACACTCTCACTGAAGCACTAAGTTCCCCAGGCTGGGTTTGAACTTGGGATCCTCCCGCCTCAGCCTCCCAGAGTGCTGGGATTACAGGTGTGGACCACCACGCTCAGAGGACATCGCAGCAGCCTGCTGGCGCCCAAGCGGCAGCGCTCCCTGTCTGTCACCGCAAGGCTGCGCACCGGGGCCATGGGTGGCGAACGGGCCCTCGCACCCCGTACACAGCTGTGAGTGAGCCGTCCGAGAACCCAGCCAGGATGTGGGGCACCGGACAGTGTCCAGGGCCCTGCATCTCAGTCCTGCAGGAGGGACAGCCGGGGCCAAGGAAGGAGAGGCCGCTGTCCTCAGCGCCTCTCCATGTGCCGTCAGCGTCCTCCGCGGCCATCTCCCCTGCTCCTCCACGCCTGAGTCTCTGTCCCAGGCCTGCGTGGTCCAGGGAGGGGCAGGGCGGAGGAGGGCAGTGCAGCCCAGACCACGGGTCGTCTTGCGGGAGTGAGGACAGCGCGTTTCCGCCGCCCCATCTTTTTCTCAGTGGCTTCCTGCAGCGCTGGTGGAAATGGGGCCGTCCGTGGTGGTGCCCTTAGCTGCCACACCCGGGCCTGAGGAAGCGGCTGAGGCCTGGTGTCAGGGTGAGACCCGACGCATGTCTCCATCCGCACCCCCTCTGGACCTCGCTGAAGCTCATTTTCTTTGCCAGGAGCAGCGGCTTGGAAAGTTCACCGACTTCTTCCAAGGCCTCACCAGCCGTCCCTGGCTGCACAGGCGAAGCACTGGGCTTTCCTTCTGGTTCCATTTTTAAAAAATTCTCATCTTCTGACCAAGCTGCAGCTGTATTACTGCCACTGAGAATTTACCTTTTGGCTGGCTATGAGAGCATTAACACTCATTCCAGGAAAAGAGGAAGAGCTTTGTGGATGCAGAGGCTGCTTCCAAGACTGAGCTGCTATGCGTTGAGCTGCTATGAACAGGGTGTGCGTGGATTTTATGATATGATGTCTTTAGCGCTTTCAGGAAGACACCTAGAAGGGGAGCAGCCGGGTCAAACAGAATTTCTGAGGACTCCGCACTGATTTCCACAGTGGTTGTACAAGTTTACAACCCGCCAGCAATCTAGGCGGGAAACCCAAACTGTACATAAAGAACAAAACAAAAGATAGATGATAGGAGTAGGGAGACGGATCCATCTCGAATGGGAAGGGGATCAGGAGATGTGGGGAGACAGGGGAAAGAGGGGACATGAAAAGAATTACAATCACTCTGCCCAGGCACCAGCACCACACAGGAAGGTAAATGTTACACTCTGCGAACACGAAATAACGGAAAAGTCAAGGAAAGAGCGGTGTGATGCGATTACTCTCTTCTTACATCAAAGAACTGAAGCCTTGAAATGTATTTGCCGGCCGCAAAGACGTCCTCCGCCGGTGAGATTGAGGATGGCGCCCCTTAGAATTCTCTCCCAGTAGCTTCCTGACAAAGGACTGAGTGTGACGTCGGTAACATTGCTCCTCGCCTTCATGACAGCATGGAAACAATAAACACAATAATGGTGCCTTGCTTCCAGGAGGACGCGCACGCTGAAAATGAGGCTAATGATATCTCAGTCCCTTCTAATGGGTTTGTTTTCCCAAAGCATCTGAATGTCTTTTGTGTGTGTGTGTGTGTTTTTGAGACAGGGTCTCACTATGCAGTTCGGGCTGGCCTTGAGCTCACTTTGTAGTACGAGCTGGCCTCGAACTTGCAACGATCCTCCTGCCTCAGCCTCCTGAGTGCTGGGATTACAGATGTGCGCCACCACGCCCCGCTCTGAATATCTTATGCTTTTGCAATGAGTGGGATAAGGAACGAGGCGCTTACGCCCGCTCACTGGTAGTGTGTGTTTCTAGGGAGCCCGTCCCCACAGGGCCACGGAGTAGACGTTTTAGGGTTTGCAGCCCACCAGGTGTGGTAAGCATGCTGAGCAGCCGTAGCAACCATTAAACCAGAGATGTTTAGGAACGTGGGAACCGTGGCCAGCTTGCGAGGGCGCAGTCACACGGCGGGTCGCACGTGGCCCGTGGCTACCGTGGTCACCAGAAGTCCAACCTCACAGTGTCCGCAGATCCTCCTGGGACCGGTGCCTCTGCGTGGACATGTGCCGTCTCCGTGTGACCACCGTCCTCTCCCTCCCTCTCAGTGAGAGCCAAGTTTCCAGTGACGCACCCCCGCCCCTCCGCTGGCTCTCCGTGAGATGCTGCACCTGCCCCAAGGTGGCAGTTCCCCGGGGCGAGCAGGGTCTCCCCGTCCTCTGGCTGCAGGTCGGGCAGGTGCCCCAGGCTACGCCAGCTGGCTGTAGACCCAGCCCGGGGTGTGTGTGGGTGATGGGCAATGAGAAGCCCCCTACCCCGCTGAGTGTGACACTCTGAAGATGCAGCGTCACACTGCCAGGGGCCGCCTGGAGACGCTAACCGAGGGTCACAGAGCTGGGGAGAAAGAGCAGTCTCTGCGGCACCATCAAAGCTCTCCTGGGTGCTGAGCGTCGCAGGTGTGTGGGGCTGGGTGTCCAGGGGTTTCCCAACACCCAGCGCTGGCCTCCTACCTGAGGCTGCACAGTGGATCAACATCCCCATGTGACACGTGCGCTCACGGTGTTCACGGAGCACTGCCCTCGGTCTCTAAGTTATGTGGGCCAAGCTTAAGTTGGGTTGGGTTGGTGAGCCAGAGAATCTCCATCAGTCCATTTCCTAGAATCCAGTGGAATTCTGATGAGCCCCACGCTCACCGCCAAGTTCTTGTTGAGGACACGCAGGGTAACACAAGCACAGTTGCACCTGAGCTGGTGGGCATTCGGTCCCACTCCATTCCTGCTGACCCATCAGCCATTACACACTAGGGGGACCAGCAGCCCACTGGGAGCCCCGTGCTGACCACCCCCGTTTTCCTAGGGAAGAAGGGGTGAAGACATTGATGCTCTCAAGCACGGAAGGGGAAGGAAGGAGCCGGAAGGGACCCTCAGGGACAGCATGGCCTGGAGCCCCTGCCTTTGAAGAGACCCCGTGTATCCAGGGGTAACTTGTTGCTTTAGTCCCTGAGATTTTGGGCTTCTTCGCTGTGGTCACCAGAAGGTTCTTGCTGTGGTCACAGCAAGGCCTAGCTCATCTGCCTGACTCGCAGAATAGCCCACGGTCTCCTTACTAAAAAGAGGCAGAAGGGTCGGGAGAGAGTGAAAGGGAGGTCAGTCAGGGCACCGACTTTGGCACAGAGGTCACGGTGGGTCAAAGGAAGCACAGAAGCCGAGAAAGGCTGAGACAAGGGAGGGAGAGGAACCTCGCCTGGGGAGGAGGAGGTGGGAAGACACCCGGTAAAAAGTAGCAGTTCTC